CCAAGATGCAGAGATGTAGTATGAATATTGAGATTAAGGACGAGGTGCCAAGGTGCCAGCTGAAGAGGAATTATGAAAAGACGTCGTTCGTAAGGCTCGGCGAGTAGAAGCTGAAGCCATGTGCCTAAAGACACGAAATGAAGATGTGGTGCGAAGACGCGGATTGAAGATAGGACGTGATGATGCCAAGTTAAAATGCTGCGCAACGATGAGATGCGAAGTTGATGGTATCGTAGAGAGACAGCATTTGAAAGGGGCGGTGAGTAGTTGTTGCTTGGACATGTGATGTTGACATTCGACATGAGGATACAGCGCAAAGAGACGAAATGAGAATGCAGTGCGAAGATCCAACTCGAAGGTTGATTAAAAGGAATAGGACTTAACGGTACACCTTGTAGCTGTGGGTGAAAGATGCGAATTTTGGATGCGGCGTTATGATGGCAATTGAGCTTCAAAATAAAAATGTGGTGCTTTTTCGCATGTAAACATGATGATATGCTGTAATAATACATTTTTAATGCACGATTTTAGATTAATAATGAAGATACCATGCACAAAAGAGACTTAAGATAAAGGCTGCTGATGCGATGGTCAGATGGTACCTAAAGAAGTGGCATTAAAAATGCGATTTATAGAATTGTTTTAAATATTTCGCCCATAGATACCCCTTAAAGACGCGTTAAAAAGATGCAGTTCAGGGTTTGAGTGTGAAGAAACGAAACGCTTTTGCAGAATTGGCACAACGACACTTCACGCGTTCCCAGCCCGAGGAGCAACTGCTCGTCTCCTTGACTTTGGGCCTTTTTATTTTACGTTTTATGACGCAAGGAGAGAAATCGCTGATGGGATGAGAGGAACAGCTATCTATTGTTTTATATAAGCATAATCGAGGAGAATGATCAAGATGCAGCGAGTCATGGGTTGACATTGTGCATCTCTCCAGTGCCGCGTTAAGAGGCAATTTCTAGGACCGACTTTAAGTGGGCACTATACAGATTGGATTTTGGAGGATGCTGAATAGTTTGGAGTTTACAATACGGGATGTATTCACCCTGTTTCGTTTAAGGTGACTGGTACTTTAATTTTCCCACAATCCTATGAATAGACATGGTTTCCCAACAAATTTCGCATCCGGGCCCAAAGAACTGCAGTTTCGACTTCGACTAGTTTGCGTCAGCTCCTCCAGCGGGATTCGAACCATAAAAATGCAACGCATAATCTCGACATGTAAACCACTACACCACACTGCCACGAAGGTCTTTTGGCCACAAGACTAATGTGAATTTCACGAAAGGTCATGTCACGTTCTGTGGTGGGATTGTCGATGAAGCAAATATGTATTTGCTATAGCAGTCGGCTATACTACTTATACTTCATTTATAAGTAGGCTCTCGAGACTACCGGCAGATCCTTCAAGGGGATAAGGTGGAGCTTACTGATTGACCGGAGTGGGGCAAGTGGAAGGGTGATAGTTACTGCCACAATTTTACTTTCGTTTAACATGACGTTAGAAGGGATTATGGGCTTGTATCACCGTCGATTTTAATTGCCAATTTTAACGTAGTGGGTCCTGGTCATGCATCCTCTGGCCATTGCTAGTCAATAATGAATATTTATCTGTTCATACTGGACAGATTGTCGCAACGAGATACTGTTCTTTAGTGAAGCATCACAAAAACACCTAAATCCAATGACACCGCTCTAGTTTCACCTCGTAGACTTCGCCGCAAGTACAATCATAAGCGCTTCCTACTCGAAAAAACTGAACCATACGGATGCAATCCATCATGTAGCACTCAAAACCAATAAGGATGGACTGAAACTAAGCTAGTCTTTATGAGATGTGTTTACCAATTTTCATTTAAAGTGATTAAGGATTGGTAGTTAAATTTTCCCACAATCCGATAAGTAGATCTTAGCGTTTCATTGAATTTCACATAGATTTTCTTCCCCAAAAATATATTATCATCCGTTTCAGTTACGCTTGAACTCGACTCATCAGCACCTTTAGCGGGACTCGAACCATGACACTTTAGTGTATAATTTCGACAGGTTGGGTCACAGGGCACATATGAATCTCAACGAAGGCTAGGCATTTTACCATATCACATTCTGTGGTGGGGTTATCGATTAAGCAAAGTTATAATTGCTATAGCGATAGAAAACATACGTATAAACGAAAAAAGAGCAAAC